TCGCTCACCTGGACGGGAATTCGTCTCGTTGGTCCTGCCACCCGGGTTCCGCTCAGTTGTGGCTCCCAGATTCAGAGTTCGGATCTCCAGCGCTAAAAGCTCGGTACAAACTGCGCTTCCGATAATTTTCCAACATGAAATTGGACTCTCGAGTGTTTCCTCCTCTTATTGTCGGCCTAATTATACAGCGGAACGTTCCACTCCAAAATTCGAATCACGCGCGGTCAAGGTCAGTTCAGCCAGTTCTTGAAACCCTTTACCGATTTGAATTTGACTCACTTTTTGAACGGCCTGTTCCACTCTTTTACCACCCTGATGGTAAAGGTTTGCTACCTTACTCTGTTCCACATAGGTATGACCCTGTGTGCAAAGAAGTTGGCCCGGACCTCCAAACAAGCATGATTCTGTTGGAGCTTAAATCTGTGACCCCTCGTGTTTTGAGCACGAGAAGCCGTAAACAAATCATCTGCGTGGAATCCTGATAGCCCTCTGACTATTTTAATGGTCTGTACCAGGTCTATGTTCCAGCAGAAAGCGACTTAGGTCTCTTGATAACTGTTTATAGTTATTTTCCCTTTTGCCCAGCTACAATTCTGGTAGCAAGTCGTTGCATCTTCTCTAGGCATGCTATATCCTTTCTATAGTATGGTGCTTATGCCTGAACACAGTATTTTAAGTGGGGAAGAACTGCTGCCTTATAGGTAGATACAAAGATGTGATGTGTTACACTGACCTAGAAATTCCATGTACACATTAAATGCATTGAATATGCATAGTATACGATTCGAATAAAGTTTGTGTGCTATTCTATTCGAAGTTGTTTTATTTCGGGGATTGGTATTGAGCGAATTCTGGAATTCCATTTTGAATACTGTTCCAAATACTACATTTGGCGTCGCGGTCGGTCTACTGAACAATGAATTCTACTCCCCTAGAATTTCTTGATCTTAACTGCAGTGCACGCGATATCGAGGATTATTTTGAACGTTTTGAGATTTGGTGGTTGACCCGTTCAAAGCCCGATGAGGAAAAGAAATCCGCTTTCTTTTTGAATGCTGCCGGTAAAAATGCCTATACATTAATCAAAAACTTGGCTTATCCTTCTCCACCTGTTTCCGTACCGTACGATGATTTAAAATCCCTCCTCCTCCAGCATGTGAAACCAACGAACTTCGAAGCCTCAGAACGAGCAAAATTTCATTCAATGGTACGCAATCCGAATCAGGGCATCCGTGAATTCATCTTGCATTTGCTCACTCAAGCTGCAAAGTGTGATTTTGGAGATTTACTGGACATGCAATTGAAAGATCAGCTGATCGCTGGCATCAACAATACCGTTTTGCAAAATGAACTTCTGAAGTCATCTAATCCGACGTTCAAAGATGTGCGGGCTTGTTGTGAACAATATCAGGACATTCGCGCCACTACTTCATCCATGCCGTCCACCATTGAATCCACAGCCATGTTCAATTCACTCAAGACTAAATCCACGAAAGCTCATGCTACAGCCGGACGTTTCAAACCGGTTACACAATCTAACTCACACAATGTGACATATTCGGATAAATCCTATGGCAATTGTGCATCCTGTGGCAAACGTCATTCCAGATTCACATTTCGATTTCGTTACGCTTTATGTCATAACTGTGGCAAAACTGGCCATATTCAGTCTGTTTGTCGCAGTACCAAAACGTGCCGTTTAATTCAAGCCCGAGACTCAGAAGTGAGTAATATGGCCAAACATTTTTCTTCTTTATCTTCGGCAATTACCTCCCATT